ATATACGAGTAGGACAATTAATATGCCGCTATATATACGAGTAGGACAATTAATATGCCGCAATATATACGAGTAGGACAATTAATTTAATATACCGCTATTTATACGAGTTATTATACTTATGCCGCTATATATAATTAAGACAATTAATGGGCCTCTATATACAATTAGGACAATTATCTTACTCCTACCGAGATATGCGCAAAACCGCCACACTGACAGGCAGGTAAAGCTAGTGCGCGTATGTTAGCACACCTAACATCTCGTACATATCTACATACACATTATATTCTGCAGGGTAAACAAGTAGCAATAAGTAATTATTCAAGCGCAGACCTACTCTCTACCCGTGCAGTCATTTTCTACGCTATAAAACTACGTATGTAAATTTATACATAAACATAAGCGTATCAAATAACTTGCTTTATACGTAGTACTACGGCCGAGTACCGCCTAAGCCTTCACCACCACCATCGCCACAGGAAACGATAAGGTAGTGGACACGTACAAGCGCGCGTACGCACGCACGCACTCGCACACACGCAAAATTGATACGTAAGGTAAGTGTATATCTACATTTTTTTACGTGCGTTGGCTGTCGCGCTCACAGGGGGAGAGGATCGACTGATCAGCTTTGTCTCTGAGCAATAATGCCGCATGTTACCCGCACCCCAACACCTCCTTATACATTACTAGAGAGTCATGTGAAATGCAAAGCAGTGCTGGGCAAGTGAAATATTGGGATCGCCACCCGCTCTAAAGTATAAGCACCTTATGACCCCGAAAACGACTGGTACTGTATATCCTAAATTATAATATTGCAACAAAATATTATTGCTTTCTGGGCTATTGCACGTGGTCGCAGAAACGATAGCAGTAATGAAAAGTAAACAACACGCTAGACAATAATGGTTCGCTCCTGTCTTTCTGGTGAGAAGTAGTAATATTCCCGTTAATGAATTTTTTAATCCATTTTTTACTTGTAATGTCAGCTTCTGCCACGAGGTAGCAGCATCGCCCAGTCATGTAATCGATTGTAATGCCGGCTTCTGCCACGAGGTAGCAGCATCGTCCAGTCAAGAAATCGATTGTAATGCCGGCTTCTGCCACGAGGTAGCAGCATCGT